AAACAGTGCTTTAAACTGGAACTGCACACGCATGTTGGATTGGAATACTGCATATATTCGACCTCGCTGAATTTTCAGTGAGCGATTAATAGCTAAGTTTATCATTGGTCCCCATTTCAATCGGTTGCCAAAATAGAGATTAGGACTCAAAACGAAGTCTGGGCCGTGCATACTTTATCGTAAGTTAACACAGATATACCCACATAACAATGACATCTCATGAAGAGACTTGTCGGTATTACCCCTTAGAAAGTGCACAAACTACTGGTGTAACGGTGCATACTACTGAAGAAACGCCCGAGTAGTGTCTGATCTGGTATCCGGAGGTGAAATTACGGGACCGCTTTGCAGTGTTTGCTAAGTATTTAAGTTCAAGAGGACGCATTCAGAGCGAATGCTTTGCAGCTGGCCAACTAAACTCCGTTGGAAGCGTTGAGCAAGCTTTTTCACATTTTACTTCCGCGGAAACAAATAAATAGATCACTAGGAAGGTGTTCGGCAGCCAGTTTTCAACCAGGGCGAGATGACTCAGTGGTTAGAGCGCGAATTTACTGACCACAAGGTCTGTGGTTCGAACCCGAACTCTGCCTCTCGACTTCCTCTGTCTAGGCTTGGGCGACTTGGCAGTATCCCAGCCCTCATGTTTCCTCCGGGTAGCATGGCAGTTAGGCACCGGAAGGGTGCTACAGCTTAACGATTTCCTTACACGTAGATGGGCAAGTATGTAATCGATTTATAGCATTGAGAACGCCATTTTGGTTGCTATGCTGCCTAATTGTGAGTATTCAATACCGTATACCGGGCTTCCGTAACAGGACTAGCAATACATAAGGAATTTGGGTTTTCTCTATCGTGCTTTTTTTCTACTGCCTCTTGTAATTAATTGTTTACCTCTTTTTCTTCTTGTGAGTGTTCTATGATATACTCCATTTTGTCGGTAATCGTTTACCTTTCCTATCGGTGTCTAGCTGTCATGCCACCCGAAGAAAGCAAGACGGCTGAGAGATAACCAGGTTACCCAAGTCTAGACAGGAGCAGTCGGGATTAGAACTTTCCGCGCCCTAACCACTGACCAGGAAAAGTCATCCCCGGGGTGAGTGGAAAACAAGGGTTCGTAGTACCCTAAACACTGTTGTGTACCGGACATTTCGGGACCTCTGTCACTGGACTGGTATGGGCTTGGTAGCCTCATAAGATACACAAATTTGGGACACATGTGATTGCCAGACACCGCCAAACTTTCTGACAATTGGGAAAACAGCTTTCAGACGTTTCAAGGCATCCCCACCAAAGGCGAAACCTAGCTGCATTCTCACGAATCCATCTCTACTGATAATCGACCAAAAATAATGGCAAAATAATGGCAAAGAGCGCTTTGGTTGCTGAGGCTGATGCCACTGTGGTCTTCACAAGACTTTCTTGAGCCCCTTTTGAAGACTAGGATGACCACCGAGGCGCTCCATTCCATAGCTACTCTGTGTTTGTTCCAAATCTTCCGCACTAGGGTTGTAAAACTGCTCACCAGAGTGCGAGGTGCAGACAACCGGGTCCGGTGGCTTGTCGCGTAGGAGGAATGGTATTTCACCCCGGATAGTTGTTGTTGACGGCAGGCGGATTCTTCCAGAGGGCCAAGTGACCTATTCTTTGAAGTGTTCAGCCCATTGCTCAAGATGATGAGTTTGTGAGTGAATTGTCGTTCCATCTGGTCACTGACACTTAGCTTCTTTTGGCCGGCTGATCAAATCAGCTGAAATAGGTCACGACTGTTGCCTACAGCGAAAGCCCTCTCTATCAACCGGGCCTTCGCGATACACTAGTGTTCACGGTCCCTATTCTTGATTATCTGGTATTTGAGGGATCTGCGTGCGCCATCACGGTCGTTAGTTGATGGCATAGTCTTTCTCGAAGCAATAAGATCTGCTGATCTCGACAATATCCACTGTTCATTTAGTCGAGTCAGATGACTTAGATAGACAGCTTTATAGCCAGATAAGCTCGATATCCTTGCGCTACTGAAACTTGTCGAAGTTGATGATGATGCTGATAGAAGGCGAAGTGCTAACGCAGCCCGCATAATGACATGAACGGAGTCAGGTTGCACACTCCAGAAGGAACGGCAACCTTTCATTGGGGTCGGAGCACGAATTTACTGACCGGAAGGTTCGTGGTTCGAACCCGATTTCTTTCTCTGCCTAGGCTTGGGCAGCCTGACAGTATCCCAGCCCTCGTGCTTCCTTCTGATGGCGTGGCAGTTGGGCAACGAAAGGGTGCTATAGGTGAACGTCAGTGTAATTTGCAAATGAGTGTACTTTGCCAATTGTGTACAATTCGGGATTCAAGTAGAATGGATTTAAGTTGATGGAAACTCAAGGGCTGCATTCACTTGCTAAACCCCAGGTAGGGCGGAAAACTGTAGCTTCCGGCAACCGTATTAGTGATGTGCTCTACCAAGTGCGATAAACTTGTTTTAAGTGGCAAAAATCTCAACTGGGCCGTCGGAGTGACAAATTCGGGATAGTCAGTCCTAGAAATACTCCCTCGATCGTCATCTGATTTGTGCATCACGTCCTTTTAGCTCGGCAGGACGACATTCTTACAAAGTCGAGCTTAAGTGCGATCAACGTTAAGCTAGAAAACTGTAAGTAATGACCACTCCAAATAGTCCTACGATGGTGTGACCGAAACGGTATACTACAGTTCAAATAACTGTCAAATTTCCGTTGAAAAATAGCACTCAATAATTAATAATAATAATAATAGTAATGATAGTTCAGTTCAGTTCTAGCACCCTTTCGGTTTCTAGCTGCTAAGCCATCCGAAGGAAGCACACGGACTGAGATACTGCCAGTTTTCCCAAGCCTAGACAGGAGCAGTCGAGATGCCGGGGATGGGTTTGAACCACGGACTTTCTAGTCGGTAATCTAGCGCCTTAACCAATGAGCTATCTCGAATTCTCAGTAAGACTAGTGAACAGAGAGACGGATATTGTATCGTAACCAAACCCACAGACTTTCGGAAGATGACAAAGTTGGGGGTAACAGCTCAATGCTGTGAGCTAACCAGTAAGTCACCAGTACAGTACAGAGAACAGATAAATTTATGCGAAAGCATTAGTACGGACAGCCGAGATCACTTCGTAAGGATTGAGCTACCGATAGATAGTATTTTTCAAGAGGACAGTTGCTCTTCGGAAACCGTTTGACGAAACCCCATTCCTCAAAGAAGAACTGGATATTTCTCTTCCCTTTGAGAGATTGTATTGTTTAGAACACCATGGTGTGCACAAGCTCTAGAAAGCGATAGTGATCCCAAGTCTTATTTACAAAAAAGTTACAAATTTCAACAGGTTAAAAAAGGACCAGTGCTGCTCAATGTACTAACGAGCAAGAGCCCCCAATTTCGGATGATCATTAGCCAGGGCTCTCTTGACAGATCACCTGAATGATCAAGTTGAGACACACACTAGGCTCATAAAACATACGAAATTCGAAGAAAAAACAACGAGAGCTCACCTGCTTATCTGGCGTCAACTGGGAACTACTACAATGTACGCCAGCCTTACAGTCCGGGTGACGAGAATGATTCATATGCGTCCGTGCGTAAACATCCACATTGACTGAGGGTATCGAGTGCCGCAGGGAGGCCGGAGTTAGCACGCCCGTGTTGACCACACAATTTGCGGATAGTCCTGAACGGTATTTACTCAAATGCTGGGAAACATATTGATTTGTGATGAGAGCCAGACGAGACCCGCATCGGCTCATCACCGGAATATAGTTTGTGGGGCATGTGTGTACAGGGCAGACTGGTCGGTCGAATCGTAAAGTTCTGAGGCGGGACAGTGTGTCTGAATTGAAAATGGTCAACCATAAAGTAATACAACCTGGAAGAGTTGGTGCAAGCATGGATGTATGTGATGCAATCGGGTCTCTGTGTCTTTGTGAGACTTCTGTCTTCTCGGATGATGGAAGACAGAACGAGACGGCTCCCGAGCGATGTATTTGATGGGCTCGAGAGCCGTCATGATTGGCTGTGGCATTGACGCGAACAGGAGATGAACGAAGAACTACATCCTCACGATCTTCCACAGACTCTGAGGAGGCGAATGGAAAAACAGTACTGACATTGGTGGAAGAAGCGTGGTGTCCTATTGTGGAACATCGACACACGCGACTTTCGGTGGAGACTACAAACAGAAGGTATCCGTCTCGCGAATAGAATATGCTTAAAATATGAGGAGAGGCCAGAGTAGGCCAGTGGGTTTGCTGCCTATCTATAGGCTGATTTGCCTCTGAGGCTGCTCTGTGCCGATGTAGGACACGTCCAGATACACTTGTACTCGAAGGACTCTGCTGACAAGAGCCAGTGGCGGATCTAGAAGACGTGCCGGCCGAAGCGGGACTGCGACTGGCCAACACCGGGCACTTAAACTTGGTGGTTGTTGCGACCCTTTCCCAGGTGGGCAGGGTCATCAGAGTCAAGCTTGTTCGGGCCTCCAACGCAGATCCATCAAAATGAGGATCCACAAAATTCACATTGGTAATAGCAATCCGGGAGTGTAAAAAGCGTGGATCGAAAGCGAACAACACGGAGGCTGACCGATGAGTCGCCACAAAATGTCGCTTCTCGTCGGTTGACCTTCCTTGTCTATCTTCGTTCAGGATGGTCATACGTCGCTGTAGTGGATTAAGTTCGGTAGTCGGATGCGGACGGTTGACATTCTGATTCGGAGCTAGTGGAGTTCGCGCGGGTGCTGGCGCATTTACCAAGGGCACAGGTTCTGGATGGGGAGATAGAAGAAGCTCCGTCAGTAGTTCACAGCAGCGCAGATCGTACAGCTGAAGAGAGAGAGCGGGGTAGAAAAGTTTCGGTTACCTATGAAAGTTGTGGCACAAAGGGCTCATATTGAGGACTAACCAAAACCTAATTAAAAGTACCACAAGACATTATAATCGATGGGAGCAACTCTTGGGATTTATTGGATTCAGTATCGCAATAGACTAAGAATACAATCACTCCAGCTAAAGAAGCAACATGTTTTTGAATGATACAAAGCGGACTCCTGTGAGACCAGTCATAGGTGGGTCAGGTTTAAAGGTGTTTCCCCAGGGGACGTCGTGATTGCTTATAGAATCCCAGTAACACAGCGCTTAGAGACTCCAGAATTTAGCAGAATTCACATCTGAGCAAGACGGTGGTTTTCCGAAATGACATGTACTTTCAGTACATCCAAACGCCTCAGTATGGTGGGAGATGGAAGGCGAGTACGATAGCCCCTTGGACTTCGCGAAATGCCCCAAAGAAACTTGCTACCATGTAGCCTTCCGCCTCCATATGGTGGGCGAATTTCCAATAAAGTGAAAAGGTGAAGTCGAGTGTCGGGTGCCAAAGCTTAGCCGAAGGCCGGCTGACTGTCCGGCTGACTGAACCCAGGCTAACAACGGTGAGGACATGAAGTAGTTCTGGCCAAGCAGACAGATAAGAACAACCCCGGAAACCAGTGATCACAAAAGCGACTTTGGTTCATCACCCTCCACATTTTTACTGCTGCCCCGAAGGTCACACTTGGTTGTGCAAAGGCTAGAGGTGTCATTCCGTACAAAGACCTAGTGACCTAGACGACGTTCGTATTATATCCCCTCGTTACTTCATGCTGTCCAAACGGTAAACTCACATGACGCTATGGTGTTCCCGAAAGGCGATACGCATCGTGCCAACCCGTCAGCATGGGTGGGAGGTAAACGAGCCGGGGCTTTTAACGCAAGACCTGTACTGGTTACTGGAATGTCCGCACCGTGTCAGAGGATATTTGTGGTGATCCATAGGCTAGATACCACACATCTGAGAATAGACTAACCCAATTAGGCAACAAAAGGGTCCCTGTAGCGGAAACAGAGACCTACTGGTCATATTACAGGACTCAAATGGATAACGAGTCTATACGACCTGTCTTGAGTGACGATGCCCACAGTGCACGAATAACTTGGAACCCTGTCTTGTCCAGAATTTTGGTCGCTTCATTCAGAGGCACCCTGCTAGATTTAAGTATAAGTGTCGTGTACCCATCCACCTCTTCAGCAGATCCAACCGCCAAGGAAAGTTTTTACGATGGCTTGCAAAGTGTAGTTGAGTGAATGCCGTTAATCGCTCTTGATTTGAAAGGCTCTTATGGTAAGCCCCTAGGGTAAATATTGCTTCTGCACATACTATTTCTTTCCATTCGGGAGGTGGAATGTGCTCATTGTGGATGGGATATCCCGAGTTTCCAGTGAATTCATTAGAAATGTGACGAAACAGTACGTTGAAATTACCGCTAATATATTTAGTCGAAAATACAAGGTGCTCAAACACACGTCTTCTCCAGTTAGGGAGAAGACATATGAGCGAGATGTTGACTCTAGGTTGACTTCTGGAACATCGGGCCGAATCCTATCAGCAAACCGTTGCCGGCTTCATTGAATTCCGACTGCACTAGACTCTATCCAACGTGAGTCGTTATGAGCTACCCTCCTTATTAGTGACGTGCTAACCAAACTTATTACCACCAAAACTTATTACTTGCCAACAACAAGGAATTCCTTTATAGTACGTGCTATTTAACCTCCTAATTGACCAGGCAACAGGTACTGGAAGGATACTCTGGTGCGCAAAAGAGTCCAGAAAACTGGATTACAAACCGCGAGTGCACCAAAACTAGACGAAGACACTGACCTACACGGAATGAGCGAACATGCGGGATTCATCAGACTTACAATCAACATCAATAAGACATACTTATTCACCACACAAGTAAATGATCAAAGGGTAATCCTTCTGGTACACCATGAAACTCAGCAAACACAACAGCTCGATACCTGGACTGCGTCAATCTACCCAACGGGGAAGTTGAAAAAAAGGGTTTGGTCCTCGTATCGATACAACAAAATAAGTGTAATGCAATTTCTGAAAACCCAATGAAGGAGAAGTGAAATAAGCTGGCACGGAACGTTTTTTGGTCAAAACGGTAATCCGCTCAATCTTTACGGTTGTGAAGATTGGCCGCTTCGAGTGCTGGATATCCGCAGACCCCAGGTCATTTCATCAATTACGTCTAAGGCACATTATGGGCACTGGACGGCTCAGCAAAATATCACTGCTTCAGTAGCCCACGTCTCGAACAACTGTCACAGCAACAACTCCAAATGATTCAATCATGTTGCACGAAAACTCCTAAGTAGGCTTTAAAAACCTACATTCACTTCTTCACTATGGACGGAATGGTGCTGCCAACTCGGACGGCAGCTGAGAACCTCGATCGCTACCGGCAGACTGGATTCGGAGAGTGTCGGTTTCAACCCAGCATCCGGCATTCACTTCCTGAATTGAAATTGTGTGTGTGGACTTGGCCTGTCACCGCCATTCGTTTGACCAAATCTTCACACTGCGTCAGGTGCTAGAACAACGCCATACTTATAAGCGACCCAAAATTCTAGTAATCCTCGATTTCCAAGGTGCATTCGACTCGGTTGACCGGTCTGTTCTTTTTGACACGCTTGCCCACTAAGGAATACCCCGAAAGTTCGTGAACATAATAAGCTCTTTGTATTCTGACTTTTTGGACGTGAGAGTATACGGCGAGCTCTCTAAAAGCTTCCGTACACGATGTGGTGTCTGCTGGGGGCGCCCATTCTCCCCATTCCTGTTTAACTTCGTGATCGATGAACGCTGGAAGGTCTCCAAAACCCCGGTGTCCAAATAACCTGTGACGAAAACCTTGTCGATCTGAGATATGCAGGCGAAGTCGTTCTCATTTTCGAATAGGAGGAGAAGGCGCAAGTGTTTTTAGATGAACTGACTAAAATCATCCCGTCCTTTGGTATGCACTTTGCACCCACAAAGTGTAAGGTCATGCTCCTCGACATGCAGTCACTGAACACCCGACTTACAACCCAGAGAGAGGTACTGGAAATTGTGGGTAGTTTTACGTATCTTGGAAGTTGTATTAGTTCTGATTGTAGTGTGACAAATGAGGTCCATGCGCGAATCTGCAAGGCTCGGGCCGCGTTTGCTAACCTGAGACACCTATTGCGTCAGAAAGGTTTATCCCTGAATCTGAAGGGACGTGTGTGTCAAGCTACAGTGCAGGCTGTTTCGTTGTATGGCTGTAAGAATTGGCCTGTTCGAGCCGCAGAACTGAGACGTCTTCAGGTGTTCAACAATCGTTGTCCCAGGACGATAGCTCGTGTGGGTTGGTGTCGGCGTATCTGTAACAAGGCACTTAGAAAGCAAGTTTCCGGTTGTGCAACGGGTACTTCCATCGAAGAATGTGTCCACCACCAGAAGCTGCGTTGGTTGGGACATGTGTTGCGTATACCGAATCATCGTTTGCCGAAGAGAGTGCTGTTTTCCATGCCCAATTCAGATTGGCGGAAGCAGCGAGGTGGCCAACCCTTGACATGGCAGCAGAGTATGGAAGAAATCACGAAACGTTTGGGTGCTGTCGGTGCTACTCACATTCAAAGATGGGGACCACGTGATTCTCACTGCGCCTGCTTGGAGACGCTGTAATATATGACTGCAAAACGATGTTAGTGGCGATCTTGTTGTTAGTTTCTATCCAGATTGCCTGAATGTGTTTGGAGGTGTAGGTACCTCAGAATGGTGCAATAAGCTAGCACTAACTCTCTCCCCCGTCCACTTTTACTCTTTTCTTTACAATAAGACTTTCAAATAAATCATTGTTGTACGGCAGTGAAGCATCGATGTTGAACAGTGATGTCATGCTGTCGATGATGATGATGACCGATGTCGTGCTGTCGATGATGATTATGATGACGGGACATCAATGGAGATGACGCAGCCTGTCACACGAAATGGTTGTTGTAAAGTGGAGTAAAATGGTATGAAGTGCAGCTGATTTGTCGCATTCAGTGTCGTAAAGTTCAGTGGTTTGCACTGTTTTTTTCAGCTACAATGAATCCCTATCGAAAGGTGGCTCCTTTAAAATGATCAGCTGTAGACCTTACTGATGTTTGGTGCCGGTTCAGGGGATTGATGTTTGGTCCATATCTCCTTGTGATCCTTTCAGAGAGAAGATAAAAGTGGTGGTGCCGTACAGAGGGGAAACCATGTCTTTAGTCCTGTAGCTACGACGATAGAAAGCCTTGCACATCCAGTAACAAAGGCATTGGGTCCCAGAAAACCGCACGCATGAGTCTGGAGTTCTGATCCCGACTGCGAGGAGGATCCACGTTCGGAGACATGCAGGGTGATCATTGTTAGGAGTTGGGGTCATGCTTTCAGAAGTCACGAATTTCAATCGACTTCCGAATTTAGGGGGAACCAGGTTGAAGGAGTCTCATCTTGAGAGTACCTCTCTTGACGGGTTGAATCACAAAGCGGACAACTATGATTGGTCATTGTATGGGGGAAAGAACACACGTTGGTTCCTGTGGTTGCTTTAGAAGAAGTCATATCCACTCAATAAAAGCCTGATCAGAAACCAGACCATCCGAGACAAACAGGATAGAACTGTTGTCACTATAGAAAGGTTTCGACATGTATGATAATTGTAGATATCTAAAGGAACCGCGAAATGTTAGGTAACTCTGCTGGTTAGCACCTCGAACAGCGCGGAGAATTATTACATACCACGAATAGTATTATGTCAGGGGCGACTGTCTGAAGAAAAGAGAGGCCATTTTACACCACCCGCGGCTTTCATCTATTTATGAAAAAACTCCTGATAGCAAAGGCCACGGAACGGACTATTTATCATAACAACCATATACTTATCTGGATCTTACGAGACCACCCTCAAAATCCGTCAGTCAGTCGGATTACCAGCTATAAACCATGTACTAAGGGTACGTTGGTTCAGGCAGCTACAGTTTCAGTCACCGAAAAATGGGAGTGTGGGAGATATAGCCAAGCAACGGAGACTATGGCATAATAAGTTAGTTCGGATTATAAACTGTTTGGGGGGGGGACGAGGAACTGAGCAGCTACACATTGAAGATGATAGCTTCGATGCACTGGCGCCAACGTTTGTGTGACTGAACCATGTCTGACAGTGTCAGTAACGGCGGATGAGTTGAGTCCCGAGGCCCCCACCCAGGGAGGTGGCAGTTTAAACCCAACTAAGCTTCCCTCAAAGGCGGTCACCCTCCATACGGAGAGAACATTGAAATGCATCCTCTTTAAGACCTACTCCATAGGTAGTCCAGAAAAATAAAAAACCTTCTAGCAAGAAAAGGTAAAAACATTTCGCATAACGTGGTCAACTGATAGCCTGCATGCTTTCATAATGGCGGTTGATTCATCAGAGCAAACGTCTAACAACCACTCTTGGGGGGGATGAGGGTAGACATCTTCAGACGTAGGTCAACGCTAACGGGTGTTAAAAAATTAACAAGCTGAAAATGAGTGAACAAGCAGTCTTGGGGGCATGCCCGAAACTCGAAATATCAGAGGCCCTAACATTCCACCGCATAAAAACATGGACCCATCTGGACTATTACAGCAGAGCTATTAACAGATCTTTGGTGTGTTCGCATAAACAGCTGGTGTGAGCTGGAGATCTAGACGGGTCTTGCATTAATATAAATCAACTGACGCGTAAGTTACAGAAATTAAGCCAGCCAAGACCACCATTATCCGAGACCCAAAACCCAGTGTTGACAATGGTGCTTAACTGCCGAACGACCGAATTGGGAGGGGGCATGGATGAGAAGGGACTTGACGCTGGCCTGACGCAAGCATTCTGATGTGTCTACAACTTCCAATGCCCAATCAGATATTTTGAAAGGGAACTAACAGCACAAACGCCATGAATATTGACTGGCCGAAGTCTTCATGGATATCATATAGATATCAACTTCACTGAAACATAGCCACAGTAAATTACATCATCTCTTGTCCCCAATTCAAAACTGCAAATTCAACAACTTGCCTTCCTTCGTCATTGCTGACAAAGGAATGGAGAATCCCAGGATGGAGACAAGTTGCCTGTCCTTCATACCTAGTTGTTTTTCAACTGTCCTCCATTTTCATCTATTGGAAAAGCTACCGTGCTCTTCGCCTTACAGAGGTGTCTCTTCAGAGGTGTCAGTTTGACTTCCGTCGTCATAAGGCCTGTGACGTCATTAACCTCGTCATCTTAGGGCAGTAGGCGAAACCTTGTCCCGTAAGCGTTAAGCGGGATTTCGACCGGGTGGATGCTGAATCGGGCACATCCGAACACTTTAAGGTGCTACAGCAGCGCTTTGCGGACAGGTGACCAACAATCTTGGTTTTCCTTGGTTCCAAAGATGCGTTTGATCCCGCCCATCGGCCAGCACTTCTTACCGAATTTGCTCGAGGTTTTGAACTAAATCCGGACCTTATATGCAAATCATTTTTTGTGCGTTAGTGAAAGAAGGGTCCCTAATATCCATCCTGAAAACAGTGGTAGCCGAAAAAGCCTACTTTTCATTATTTTTCAAGTTTTCATCCATAAACTAATGAGGTGAACCCATAAGGGTATACATCTGTGTCCAACTTGTTGTCAATGAGAATTTTTTTGAATTTGGAGTACATAAACGGTAGGATTCTAATCTTTGAAGGCGAACATACTGCACAGGAACTATCGGATAAACTGGCCACAAGCACTCCATAGTTCAGCAGTGTCTTGAATCTACAAAATGTAAAGTTAAGCTTAACACATACTAGTCCCTGAACATCGCTTTGGGAATTCAGTAGAACCACCGGAGGCTACGTAGAGTTCTACATTCTTCTGTAGTTGTATTATATCTGAGGGAATTGTGCCTACTAAAGTCAGTGCACGAATCCTTAAGGCGGGAATAACATTTGCCAGAAGGGGCTACTTGTGGCGCCAAAAGGGCATATCAGTGAGTCAAAATAGCTGCATGCACAACACTGCGAGAAGGGCTCTGTTGTTGAAAGGCTACGAGACATAGGCATCGCCGGAAGACGGTCTGGGTCAACTTCACGTGAAAGACAGTGAAAGAGCTGAAGATGTCTCAGATCCTCCACCCGGACTGTGATCTAATACACGCATCCTTTGAGACCCAGTGATATGCCTATTTGACGCCACAAGTGGCACAAATTGGCGAACGCAATTCCGGCTTTCGAGATTCGTGCGTCCATTTCGTCTGTTACACTAACGCCAAAGCTAACGGAACTTCCGAGTTACATTTAGCACTCAACTCAGTGATATGCGTATTTGACGCCACAAGTGGCACAAATCGGCGAACGCAATTCTGGGTTTCGAGATTCGTGCGTCCGCTTCATCTGTTACACTAACGCCAAAGCTAATGAAACTACCGAGATACATTTAGCACTCCACAACCTGCAATATCACTCTGTTTTTAGGGACATGTTCAAAAACTTCACGTTCAGCGGCACGACTCTGCACATTGTGGATGCAAAGCACACGCCGAAGGACTGCATGACCCAAGTTGTATTTTCTAGTAATGAATGTTCCTCCTTGTCTTCTTCAAACATTGAGAACGATGTTGCCTGCCATTCCGGGTTGACAAGGTTCTCGTTAGGAGAGGCATGAACACCGCAGTTTTGGTGACATCCGCGTGTCCGCCTCATTATCTCACCAATGAAGGAATTAAAGTAAAATGGAGAGAGTGGGCATCGCTGCAGGAAAGGTTCTCATAAATTCTCACAAGTACGTGAATATAAACAGCGCATAATATGTAGAAAATTCTGGGGGTATACCTACTTCGCAAGCTTTTCGCTCTGAGGCCCATCACTCCACCTTACGTAAAGCGGTTATCACCGGCTGCCGATAACCAAAAGATAAATTCGACAAAAGCGACATCACTTTCTGCTCCAAATTACTCAAACCACTTCGAACAGCCTCAGGTGTATAAGCTTCACTCTAGTGTGAGGTTATTTGGTTGTTTACATTACCTCATACTCGCAAACTGATCACGCCAAAATTAGCCGGAGGAACTCACCTTCAGGAGAGAAACATTCCTGTTCTGAGGAGATGAAAGTTTGATGAGACACCACCCACCGTCGGGTGAAATTTTTCCAGTCGTTGATTCCGGATTGAAAATGATAGTCTGCCGCCCAAAAGATCCCAAAAATTTGTTGATACACAAGTCAACTACAGCAAACTGCGTTATCATATCCCGTGCCAAATGAACGACGGCTAATCCACATTGGGTATCGAGGATCGACTTGAAATGTAGATTCTGAAACGTGGATATTCAGAATAAAATATACCATTACCTGGATAGATGAAAGCCGCGCGGGAATGTGGTTGTATTCGAAGTGTTCAGCCATTTTTGTGCTCCGTTTCCGCTTCCCTAGAGTAAAAACTGAACGAGACTTTCGACAGTTTATGATATTTTGCCTGCTCAAACAAAATGCGGGGGTGCACTCATATGGAAGCTGGTAGTTACAAAGCATCGGTCTGTCAGGAAAGTTGAAGTATTCTGTGTCAGGTCGTAATATACCGAGAGAAGTTATGGATTTACCTCGATGTGACTTTTTCCACAGCTCTATTGAGCACTGGTGAATGATCCGCCATGGTACGATGGGAGCGGATAAGCATATTTTGTAGTCCCGAGATGGATTCTTTGGAGAATGATGCAATTTGCTCTCGTCTAGACCCATTGCTCATAGCTGCACACGGAAACCACGAGTCATTCGAGCTTGTCGCGTGAGATGACCTTCAGCAAACGGTTTGCTCGCGCTTTAAGGTGCTGCGAACACCTAACGCCCATTGGACGAAAGACCAATCCAATCGGCTATTAGCCATTCCGGTTCTGCTCAATCCGCTCGTAGCTCGTTGCTGAGTCTCCGTCGTCATTAGGTTCTTGCAAAATTCTCAAAAACTACCGTGTTTGAAGTGGGAACTTCCAGTTAAAATGCAGCAGTTTTGCACGCATATCTTCGAACTACACAAGCCCACTGCGTTAGTACACACGCTCTAGTGTCGAATGATGAGTTGAATTGCGACAAGTTTCTTTCTGATATGGAGGCAACCGATTACACGAAGTGCAGTTATTTGGATTTTGCGCACGAAGCGTACAGAAAAGGAGTGAGACATTTCTCTCCTGCGTTCTAGTAATTAGATGTACCAGTTGAACTCACAACCTTGTCAGGGTTAGGGAGTCAGTAACCGACTTACGGATTGATACACAGGATCGAGGCTTTCGCCCAAGCTTCCCGATTAGGCTATGTTCTTTTCGTTAAGTAGCTGTCTTTCACCTGAAAGGCACAAGTGAAAAAAGGGTGTAGCACTGCTCTATAAGTTCTCAGCGCGGAGCAACATTCTTGCCGACGTGAGGACTCGTATAAATAAACGTCTAGTAGCGCTTTAAGCTGGGTTCTAGATGGAGCGTGGACAGCCGTCGGAGGAAGGTTACCCCACGCAGCTACTAATAACCAAAATGAGAGGAAAAATTGCCCGATGAAAGTGTGCGCTCTGAGCTTGAAAATATTCTTACCACGTCCCCGCTCTGTGTTTGCTGGGTCCACGTAAAAAACTTGTTCGCCAGGCCTTGTTCAAACAGGGCTCATGTAAGAATTAGGTCCCCTCGGAGGCAGTGATACTCCATGGGAAAGAGGTCAAGAACTGTAAGACGCGTTTCATAGTCCACAGATCTGAGACCGGGAACCAATTCCGTATCACATTGCTGGAAGTTCTCATTAAGGATTACGTCTTCCGTGCATCCTGAGTAAAGAACTTTGTTGGTGCGTTCAAGGAGCGGTCTGACGTAGGCCACACAGTGTATTTGTAAGTCTATGCGAGTAAAATGGCAGGAGGTGCGCCAACTGATCCGAAGAACGGCGAATGTCTTTTGGGTTGATTTCTCCTGGCGCAGCGAGAAGGACGTGTTTGAAGAGAGCCGGGTAACGAAGTCCTTTTTAGCGTTATCCTCATGATGTTTTAAATCCGTTCCCACCATACATGACAAAGGCGTTAGCTGAGTCTCCTCCAAATGACATATGAACGTACTGTTCGTCATTCAGAGGTAGGTGCCAGTCCAACCACTACCGCTTTGCAGCGTCCACATCCATTTGCAGGACACTGGCGTTGGACCCCCATGATTTCGGATCGTCCGAAAAAATTAGACATTGACGTGCAGGAACGTCTGGAAGCTCGTTGACGCATATCATAAGCAGCAGCGGTCCCAAAACGGAGTCTTAAAGAACTCCAACGGAGACCAGCACCGGAGGAAAGTAGGTCGAGCCTATTGTCACTCGGTATGATCTGTCTGGTAGGAACGCCTTGATCCAGTGTAAGATTTTTCATTGAATTCCGTAAGACTCGACTTTGTAGAGCAGCGAGACCCGTGAGACTCCATCAAATGCTTTTGAGAAGTCAAAAAATATGGCATCTGGTATGAGTTCCTCGTCTCTGACTTGGGTTAAACTATCCATAAAAACGAACATGTTCGTCACGCAAAGACGATTTTAGGGTAAATGCGTGTTGAACCGAAGATATAAAATTGTTGGAAGCAATGTGATTTGGGATGGCTTGCTTCAAAATGCGTTACATCACATTGCATGACACGCTAGTGAGGCTTATAGACCTGTAGTTCCAGGCGATAGACGGTCACTAGTTTAGTAGCTTGGCATGACAGTCGCTTCCCACCAAGCAGAAGGACGGCGGCCCACGTCAAGCTGCCGACGAAACACCAGGAAAAAATGATTTGCCATTGTAAATGACATGTTCTCCAGGATCCTTGGTTGGAATTCGTCAGGCCCCGATCCGCAGAAGGGATTAATCCTGTGCAAGAGTTGACGAATGGCCTCCACCATGAAGATCAAGTCCATTGGAGGCCGGCCGTAGTTACGCCTTGACAAGATTGATTTTGACGAAGACGCTGGAGCCAAATATAGACCTGCATAATATTCTCCGTATACTTCTGATACAACTAATCGGTCACTCGTGGGTTCCATGTTCTTGTCTACCGAGGAGAACGTGGATGGATCTTTTCTGCGGCAATATCTCATTTATTAGAACAGCACATTTCTCTTTTTCAGATCAAGGTCCGGAATGGTGGCTTCGTTTCGTATGTTCCCGCGACGGGTTTCTGATTTACTGCGGTTCCGCATTTTAAGAAATGTAGGCTCATTTTCTTTGTCTTCTGTAATCATCTTTTCGAAAAAAGTTGAGTCCTCTTTTCCAGAAGACGCCGATTACTTTTTGGCAGATCGAGGCTATTCCGTCTCTTTGTGCTAGCTTTCTTGGACGAAAATCGCACCAGCTTCGTGAACTTTCTGGACTATTCTATTTAAGCCTTCCACTGAAGCTCCTCGCAGCCTAACCCTATTCAAGAAAGATGTGCATTCTTGAAAAGGCTGCACGGCAGAAAATTCGAATTCACGTTTGTTCGGGATTTCTGGCCAAGTAGCAAGTGGCATCATAATTCGGTACACAGTGGTCGCTATTTTCCTGTAACGTTAACTGTTACATGATCGACGAAGTGTCTCCCGTTTGTAACGACCGAATCCAGGTGAGATGGTAGTTAGCCTGCGCGGTGTCTGGTAGGTGACGCATTTTGAGTCCAAGCACTCTGTTGAAAATCTTCAGTCGGCGGGGCCACGAATATCCACTTGCACCTTCGAACTGACGCTCCATAAGGAAGCCTTTGAGCGTTGAGTTCTCCTACCAGCAGATGAATAGTAGTATCTGGATGAGTGTTGCTCAGGGCTTCGTACAAAGAATTGGTCATCTCCCGAAAATCTCGAGGGAAAACGGTGTACCACATCGAGAGGGGGATCTAACCCGCGCAACGGGGCTTGAATTCACAGCGCATCGAGAAAAGATTCAGGAGTAGTATCTGACAGGACAATCAAGGTGGCCAGGGCCGCAAGTTATTACAGAGCAACCCGGCTACCCCTCCCTTGTTCTGAGTCAGCCCTAAAAATAGGTCAGCCGTCCGTCGAAATCTTCGCGTCATAGACATCTGGTGTGGACAAGGTCTCTTTGAGTGCGATTAAGGACGGCCGTTCAAAGCAAACACACTTGTTAATATCGCAAAAATTGTTTGAAATGCCGATGCAGTTTGCGGACAAGCAGTATGACACTGTCTCTGCAGCCTCCGAAAATGAAGAGACGAGAGTTATGTAATCAGAAAGGTTAGCAAACTTACTAGCTGTGCGTCGGGTTTGAGTCCAATACTCCGAATGGGCCTCTGAAGCACACTCGTTCGCTTCCTGTCTTAGTGTTTTTGAGGGCTGTTTTCCAATTGCAGGGCTTTTCCTCCACGAGGGAGCCAGGTTTGGGCAGCCATTTTGCCTTTGAGGGACGACGTTTTTCGCAGGCGAAAATTTTAAGCACCGCTAATTGTAGCTCTTTCCATCCCGCATTTAGGACGACCGATTTGCTGTTGCTCAATGATTTGTGGTGAATTTGCGCCTGTCTGGCTTTTTGGGCATTTAATTGTGGTTTGATTGGACAATTATCCCTGCGAGGCCCGGAGCACTGGGTGACACCGCCGGGAAGTAGTTCTTTTTGTGGCGCTCCCACGAAGCTCATTTTCGCTGAGGACGGCACCTTGAAGCCAGCCAGCAGTTCCTTACTTGGCAAATCTTATGTGGCTCTTTGGGCTGTGATCGACTTTCTTTCGTGTTTGTGTGGACCCCCGAGCTACCCACGGTCAGCATGGGCAACTGGGTGTACGAGGGATTTTCCGGGTCGCTGTGGTCGTGTTTGTGGCTTTGAGCGTTGGGGTCCTGAGCGACGACCGTGTCCACAATCGAATGGACCCTTTTTGACGGATTAGAACTGAGGATTAACATTCTTATTGTCCTTGAGGTTCTCCAAGCATTTCCCGATGTCGGAGTCAATGCATGTGGATGATTTGTCAGTGGGCTCCACCACGTGTCTCCGCACGCCTGCCTCAGTCCAACTCAGATGTAAATTGGGTGTAGAGTCTACCGCTCTTACTTTGTCACCTGTTACGGAAAGAATCGCTGATGGCTCAAAATACTCTAGGCGTTGCGTCCATGAGGGCTTGCTTTCTCCATAGCGTCTCTGCCTTGGGTATTCAAGGAGTCTGCGGTGTTCGAGTAGAAACCGCTATCCTAACCAGCGGCCGGTTGCGTCGGCCTGCTTTCAGGAGCACAGTGGACTGTGGCTACAGTCGGTTTTGCCATAAGTTTGGTGTCAGGTGAACTGCCGCTAAGTTGAAGTCTGTTTCGTAACTCTCCCCTGGAACTTCTGCGGCCTAGCCTTCACGCCTCTAAAGGGCGATATTCAGGCAGACACTCAATCGTTATATAAGCCCTTTGAATACTGACAGCCCGCTCCAAGATCTGTACGGCAGATGGAGAAGAAAAGATGATTAGGGGCCCGAATGTTCGCTTGCCTCCCTTCTGGCGCACCTATACTCTGTCTGAAGCGATTCGTGGGCAGGCTTCACAAGGACACCACCGAGGAGCGAATAAGCTTGCTCCGTTGGTATGATTTTTCTCTAGAAGCCCATATTTTGAGTGCACCTTCCGCTCATAGGCAGTAAGTGAATCAACAGCCGCACAGTCTAGCTTCGCCTGAGGTAACGTAACGTAAAGTTCTCTTCCCACCTACCTATCACAGTCTTGCTCACACTCTGAAGTTGGCCAAACTTTTGCGTGATCGCTTAACCTCAAACTGGTAGGTAAACAATGCGAAGTTGGTCACTGTATCATGGTGCTAAAATTATGAGTGCACAGTTTGTACGATTCTTG